AGCTAGTCGCCTTTTCTTCGCCGGGAGAGCATCTGGGTGGAAAAACAAGGTTCCTGGAAAATGTATGAGTGTGTAGGCTTCGCCTACGCTTCACCGGGAGAGTCTCAGGCGACAGACCCAGTCGCCGGAAGAGCCTTAGGCGAAGCAGTACTGTAGTAGAATTTTTTTGAAAACTTCGAAATTCTATAACTTTTGACTCGGGTGTCCATTTGACGCACCGTTTGAACCCTCAGAAAGATAAAATTGTTTTCTATCCAATAAAAATACTTTTTTGACCCAGTATGTGATTATTTGTTGGGGATTTATACCTTTTTGTAAGTAATTATGTTTGTTGTGTTGTGATATGTGCATATACTTATGTATGATAATATTGTGTGATGTTATTTGGACTATATGATTGGTATGTAATATGTGTGGGCAGATGGTGGCAGTATTGGTGTGTCATATTGATAGATGTAGATTATTAATGTGTGTTATTTTGTTGCATGATAGTGTCTTGTTGGGGACTTCAGTCCTGTTTGTTGGTTCTGATCCTAGATGACGTGGATCAGGAGTAATGTTGTTAGGTCTGATCCTAGATGGCATGAATCAGGAACGAAGTGAACTAAATTGTTCACGATATTGGTGGCTCTGGTCCTAGGTGGCATTGATTCAAGAGCGATATTGATACCACATGCATTGAGTCCGTGAGTCGGTCTTGTTGCATTGCATTATTGTTAAGATGATGTTTGAGTTGTGTAATTGGTGTATATGCTACATGACGATTGTTGATAGTTGTGATGATTATGCATGATTGTGTAGTTATTATATAATAAGAGTGTTGTTGTTATGCGAAAGTGTGAGATATAGAATGTGTGGCTATACATGATTTAATTGTTATATACTCATTATTATGAACTATATTATATTGTTGTGATATCTTATCCATCTGTTGGAACGATGATTTATACGACATTATGCAGATAGTCAGGAGTAGTCTGACGCTGCAAGGATCGGAAGAGGTTGCTCTTTATTTATTGTCGAGTCGGTGTCATTGCTCTGATACGTAACACTGGAGTGATGAACACTATTTATTGTTTTGTTTTAGTAATTATATAGAGGTTCAGAAACTCCTTATAAATTTTGAATATGAATTGATTTATTTTAAAAGATTTTTGAATTTCAAATATGATTCTTTTTCCGCTGCACTAATAAAGGTTGAAGTTGAGACTTGTTACTTTTCTTTGGTTCATCTGAAATTTTTTGTTATATTTCTATTACTATCTATGAGCAGGTGTTTGTATGTTTTTTAATATGTGACATCCTGATTTACTTGAAAATTACTCTGATATTTGTTTATTATTCTCCGTGTAGTTTGGAGTGTTACACCCGTCACAGCGATGACGCTCGTCATCAACTCAAAACATCAAATCGTCACTTGTGTGACAACTGACTCTACAAACTGAGCATTGGTTCCATGACGCCCTGCCCGTCATGGAAATGATGTCCGTCATCGATCCAAAGGCGCATGGCGACCTGGTCGCCACGCTGGTGACACATGTCACCTTCATCAAAAGCACATAAACACAATTTCATCCATTGAAGCCTTATGGAAGCTCTAATTATTATTCCTAATAACCCAAATCGGTCCAAAAAATTAATTAAACAATCATACATCAATTACTACGTATTATTTCACTCTTTTAACACTGTAAACATCAAAGATTCTTCATATCCAGATTATGCATAAACCTTCAATCATCAACAATGGCATATTTTCATCAACAACTCTAAAACTGAAATTATACACATATAATGGTACATGAAATTACTCTAAATTCAGTAAACAACAACAATTATAACAACAAAAATCAGAAACATGTATTAGAACACATAATCCTATTGGAGGTTAAGAATTCCTAATTCCACCCCTCATGCTTAAACACCCATTAAAGAAGAAATATCCACATACCTTATTTTTTTAGAAGTAATGGATTATCACAGTTGGGTTCTTCTTCTACCTCTAGCCTCTCTAATCAGACTCTTGTCTCCTTGGCACTTTTCTTCTCAATTCACATGTACCGATAAATTCTAGGTTAATTCTCTATTAACCTTGAATATTAGGTTAATCTAATTAAAAATTAATTTCTATCCCACTTAATCTCTCCTCTCAGTTCTTCACCTCATTATTCTACTAATTCACAATTCAGTCTCAGCTCTTAATATTCTCTACTTTCTTATTATTTCCTTAATTTATTTTAATTAATAAAATATTAATATTCTAGATTTAATAGTTTTCTCCCTACATTCCACCATACCCGCTCAAACCCTTATTTATTTAATCAATCACATAATAGTTAAATAAAATGTACATAATATAAATAAATCACTTAAAAATATTAATCGAAAATTGAGGTGTTATAAATGTCGTGTTTAGCAGAAAAGGTATACTATTAACATGAAGAAGGTTTGAAGAAATTGGATTTTAGTAGATCAATTTCTGGGTGGATATTATCAACAGAGAGAATAACCAGAAAGAGAGAAAAGTGATAAGGAAGAGTTTTCATTTTTTATTTCTTTTTGTTTATTTTATTATTTTTAATCCACCTAAGCGTCATGTGTATGCCAAATGGTTTTTTTATTTTATTTTTTTACTTTGACTAATGTTGTTAACGGAAAAGATTAACATGGTCATATTTTAAGAGTTAAAGGATTAATTAGATCTTTTTAAAAGTTAAGGCACTAAAATGGACTCCGAGGTAAAGATAAAGATCCAAAAAAGGTATTTTTGCCTTAATTTAATCATTTGATCCATTATCAGTACTTTATGCGAGTGATCCTATAAGTTTTTTGTAACACTGAGATAATATTAAATCTCTTATTTAATATTATAAACAGCGAGTGATATCTAGCAACACATTACTACTACCCAAGTGACGAGAATGTCATGTGATATGACATAACTTTTCTACAATAATGATCATATATATAATTTTCTTTTTGCTATAATATCTATATTGAACACAATACATAAAATATATCACCATTGTATAGTTCAATATTATATTCCTCGATACCCGAGTATACTTGATAACAACAAATAAGTTTAATATCGCATATTAACATATTAGAGCACGACCATGCATTTTAACATCATACTCTATCAAGAGTCCCATAGATATTACTAATGCTTTAGGATTCTAGCACAGTGTTGTTCTTCCGATTAACATGATTTAGGCTCTCCATAATTCTAAATAACCATACCCGAGTATACTTGATAACAACAAATAAGTTTAATATCGCATATTAACATATTAGAGCACGACCATGCATTTTAACATCATACTCTATCAAGAGTCCCATAGATATTACTAATGCTTTAGGATTCTAGCACAGTGTTGTTCTTCCGATTAACATGATTTAGGCTCTCCATAATTCTAAATAACCTTTTCTGTTGTTGTACAAGATTGAAGACATTGTTCAGCAGATCGGTGACTCCCCGTAGTCTGAGGTTAGCTTGCAATAATTGAAGGCCAAGAAGCGCTTCTTGTGTGGGAATCGAAAGTGGTGGTGAAGGTGCAAATCTCACCTTGGTGAAATTGTTGCTTTGATCTGAGGTACGAAAAAAGTTGAAATATTCCTCGACATGCTCTAGGTTGAACATGATTTTGTTGTGAAGGATTGGACAAAGATGCTACCAAAACTGAATTGTCCACTACTAGAGAAAGAGAAAGTGGATCTTTGGCAGCTTAAGCAGCAACAACTTTCCATTGAACGACAAAACAAGTGGTCTTGAATTTCACCATTAGTTGATGGATCTGAGAAAGGATTTGATAAAGAGGAAGTTGAGATTCAAGAAAAGTGATCAAGAAACAGATGTCTGAACCATTAACGTAGAATATTGGATGTCTAACAAAGGAGATCTGAAATTCTAATGGAGGAGATGTGAATGTGAAAATGTGCGAGAATCGAATTTCGATTCTACGCACAGTGCCAATGTTCCGTAGTAGAATAAAAATTGATCAGTGAAAAAAGAAGTAGATCTTGGTGCCGTGGACTTGAAATTCTGATATGGGAGAAAAAGGTTGACATACAAGATTAGCACTCCAACGTCTAAGCCAATAAAAAACTGAAAAAGAGGATTGTGTGAAAATAAATATGAATACATGAGAAATGATATGTCGTTCATGTTAAATATGAGAAATAGTTAATAACATAAAATGTGGAATGAGGCGTGGATCACGATCAACCTTCAGATTGATATGGACAGTTGACAAATCTCTAGTGGATGAAATTGTCTACTTTCAAAAAAGAATGAGTATACATATTCTGTGGGCTTTATTGTCGTTGTTGTTTCATTGGATCTCGCAAACAGTCCAAAATAATTTATAATTAAATTATAAAAAATATAAATTTAATTGTAAAATCATATTAATTTAAAAATATAATAATTATAATTTTTTAAATATTTTATTCCTGTTTTAAATTATTTCATATTGTTTTTAGTTATTTAAATATTATAATATTATTTATGTGATCATATTTATTATTTAAATTATTAAAAAAAAACAAAATAATAGAAAAAAAGCGAATGTGGACGAAAAGGCGGAAAGGTTTTAAATTTTCTTTTTCCTCTTCCGCCTTTTAGGTGAAGGGCAGAGTGCATTATATAATTTTTGCTTTAGAAGTTGTGTATTTAAGGACTTTTTTTTCATCTGTAAAGTTAAATATGTTTTCTTGGCTAGTTGCGTGTATGGAAAGCATCCTTTATTATACATCATATAAAAGACAAAACATGAGTCAAAGGTTGTTGAATTATTTCAATGAGGAATGCTATGCCTGCACAAAATTCAACGTCAATGCCCAACACTGTACTATACTTTTTGCTAGGTTTGTAAAGAGAAGGTTGTTGTATCTGCAACCATTTGGAGGTAGAAAAAAATACAAATTACTATATGCTGTTGATGTTTTTTGTGTTTCTATGACATCCCTCTTTTCTATTTCAATTTTCTCTTCATAAAATGAAAGAGGAGTACGTAAAAGGAACTCAATGGACTGCTAAATATCTTCTCTACCTTTTTAAACCCCAAAACCATAAACTCAAGGGACTGCTGCTTAACTATTTGATTCTGCTCCTTTTAACATTCTCTTTTTGCTCTTGTTCTACTGATACCATATCTATTCACAAACCTATAACAGATGGGGAGCTTCTCATTTCTAAATCTAAAACGTTTGCACTTGGATTCTTCACTCCTGGAAACTCCACGTCCCGCTATGTTGGAATTTGGTACTACAATTTGCCAATCCAAACTGTTGTTTGGGTTGCAAACAGAGATACTCCAATCAATGATACTTCTGGAATCCTATCAATCGACCCGAGTGGAAATCTAGTACTCCACCGCATCCTTAGCACCATTCCTATTTGGTCTACCAATGTTTCGTTACCACAATCACTAACAAATAACAACACTGTTGTTATAGCTCAACTATCGGATATAGCAAACTTTGTTCTCATGCTAAACAACACCAAAGCTGTCATCTGGGAAAGCTTTAGTTATCCCACAGACACCATGCTTCCATATCTAAAGGTTGGTTTTGATAGAAAAGCTAATCAAAGCTGGTTCCTTCAATCATGGAAGACAGATGAGGACCCTGGAAAAGGTGCATTCACGGTGAAATTCAGCACCATTGGTAAGCCTCAGTTTTTTATGTACAACCATGATCTTCCTTGGTGGCGTGGTGGACCCTGGAATGGAGCACTATTAGCAGGTATACCTAATGCAAAACGAGCTAGGACCATTTATAATGTTTCTTTTGTTGGAGATGACAACTCTGTAGCAATTTCATTTAACATGATAGATAAGTCTGCCCTTACTAGAACAATCGTTCAACCGTCTGGTTTCATTCAAACACTCACATGGGACAATCAAAAGAGTCAATGGAACCAGTTCTTTACAGAACCAACAAACCAATGTGATAACTATGGAACATGTGGATCAAACAGTAATTGTGACCCTTTGAACTTTGAAGATTTTAAGTGTTCTTGTTTACCTGGTTTTGAACCCAAATTTCCACATGATTGGTATCAGAATGGAGATGGGTCAGCAGGGTGTGTAAGGAAGAAAGGTGCATCTGTTTGTGGGAATGGAGAAGGGTTTGTCAAAGTTGTAAGCTTGAAAGTTCCTGATACATCTGTGACATTTGACAAAGGTGGTTTGAATTTGGAAGAATGTGAGAAAGAATGCTTGAGAAACTGCTCTTGTACTGCCTATGCAACTGCTAATGTGAGGAATGGTGGAAGTGGATGTTTGGCATGGCATGGGGATTTAATGGACATTCAAAAACTAAGTGATCAAGGCCAAGATTTATTTTTACGCGTCGATAAAGTTGAACTAGGTAAGATATTCTCTCTGGCTGTGCTTTTCTTTATAAATTTGATTCCACTTCATTTTAGTTTGAACTTCTTTTGACATCAGCAAATTACCACAAAAGCGAGAAAGGACGCCTTGATAAAAAGAGATTGTTGGCTGCAATTCTGATAGCTTCTATTGTTGCAATTGTCCTCCTCCTCTCCTGTGTGTATTTCATGAGAAAGAAAAAAAGAAATGGTGTGTGATTTATTTTTAGTGATGATATCCCCTATTCTTTATATCTCATTATCATCTGCAATCTGTCTTACAAAAAGTGTTCTACTAGTTTTTCTGGTTTCCGCTATTACATGGAATGTGTACTATATGGTATATCAATGTTTTCATGCATCATAAATCTTAAGCATTAGAATCAGATGTCCTTCTATTCCTACCTAAATAGTATATGTTGTCACCATTTTATCCAATCTTTACCATAAGCCGCGTCTACGAAGTTCATGTAATATTGTAGTAAGTTACTTTTTTGCTGATACATGCCGCATCCATGCTGTTATCTTTATTTCCTTCCCTAGACTGTCAATCAATATTTCCTTAAGATAAAACGGCGCACTGTTTCACTTCTTCTAAATCACCCAAAAGCTAGCAATCACCCGCAAGCCAACATATCCCTACATGCTTTGCAGTCGCCTAACAATCCAGCAAACTAATCTAGTTGTATTTATAGTGTAAAATGAATGCCTAAGTTCCTAACCAACTGAATATTGTATACCAAACGCTACAGAAGATTGAGCATTCCTAAAAACAATGGTGAGTTAGGCCCACCTCTCACCTTATAAGCCGGTTTTGTAGGGTTGAGTTAGGCCCAACTACATTTCTTAACAATTACTATTACTGTTATTGAGATCATTACAAGTGCAACAATAGCTAAATTTGTAATCTGATTTTTTTTAGAGCCAACAAGAAAAATACTCTTCAAACTGAGTAAATTGATTGAAATCTTACCTCATGCCAATTGTAACTTGCAGAAAAAGTGATGCAGCAATTAAACCAAGATTCCTCTGGAGAAGAGAACGGTCCTCAAAGCAACACACGTCCAAATCTACCCTTTTTCAGCTTCAGAATGATAACAGCGGCTACAAGCAATTTTAGTAATGAGAATAAGCTAGGACAAGGTGGATTTGGTTCTGTCTATAAGGCAAGTGAAACTCTATATTGAGCTATCCATTGCAATAAGTGACAACATCAATTCATTTCAACCATATTAAAGAGATAAATATTTCAGGGTGTCTTAGTTAATGGACAAGAGATAGCAGTGAAAAGATTGTCAAAAGATTCAGGTCAAGGCAAAAAAGAGTTTAAAAATGAAGTTACACTTTTAGTAAAACTTCAACACAGGAATCTAGTGAGGTTGCTTGGTTGTTGCTTTGAGAAACAAGAAAGAATGCTGGTTTATGAATACCTACCAAACAAAAGCCTAGACTTCTTTATATTTGGTATGCCTTTCTCTAACTCACTCATTGTTTCTCTATCCTGGAAATAATCTCTACATACATGCCAAATGCAAATAAAAGAATTTTCTTTTCCATTGCATATTTTGATTAACTTCTATAAATTTAAGCTCAATATGCCATTTCTAAATATGTTCAAGTTATGGAGATTTTACTTGAAAAACTCAGATCAAACCCAAAGGTCATCATTGGATTGGGGTAAGCGTTTTGAAATTATTTGTGGGATTGCTCGAGGTGTTTTATATCTTCATCAAGATTCAAGGCTGAAAATAATTCATAGAGATCTTAAAGCCAGCAACGTTCTCCTTGATGCTGCAATGAATCCCAAAATCTCAGATTTTGGTATGGCTAGAATATTTGAAGATGAAATTCAAGCAAGGACAAAAAGAGTGGTCGGAACATAGTATGTGTCATATACTCTTATACTCATCTAGATTAACATGAAGGTCTAACTATTGTGTACAATTACAGTGGATATATGGCCCCAGAATATGCAATGGAAGGACTATATTCAACAAAATCTGATGTCTTCAGTTATGGGATCTTACTATTAGAAATTATTGCTGGAAAAAGAAACTCACATCGTGAAAAAGAAAGATCCTCCCCAAATTTAATTGGACATGTAAGTTACATGATAAAAATAGGTAACCTTAAAATTGGCCAACAATTTAGTGATGTATGATGTATTTATTTAAAGATTGTGTTGTGCATTTGTAGGTGTGGACACTATGGACAGAGGGAAGTGCCTTGGATATAGTTGATCCAGCACTAAACCAGTTTTATCCTTCTGATATAGTTCTGAAATGCATTAAAATTGGACTCTTGTGTGCGCAAGAAAATGCCATGAATAGACCATCAATGTTGGAAGTTGTTTTCATGTTATCCAATGAAACTCCTCTTTCCCCACCTCAAAAACCAGCTTTTTTATTCAATGGAAACCAAGATTTGCAAGAATCTTCAACATCAGGAGGAGGTTCTTCAATAAATGGATTAACGGAAACTACCATCAGCGCTCGTTAAAAGCCACGTTAATGAAATAAGTAATTTTATGTTCACATTTTTCCATCAGAATTGAGTTTGTAGACATTTCTAGAGGTTGTTTAGAAACAGGCATGTTTATTCAATTTGTGATATTGTAAAATGAATACTTGAGTAAGAGTCTGTTTCAATAAGCTGTTCAGGTGGTTTTATGGGTCTGAATAGTTGTTGTAAAGGTGAAGACCGATTCCACTTATAAACATGTTTCTAGATCGTATCTCCATCAAACATTATAGCCATACCAAACTTTGTAATTGTTGGGTTCAATGCAGTGTCCAACAAGACATTGGTGTCCTTCAGGTCCTATGAGTTATTTATATTCGTGAGTCGTGATGAAGTTATAAGATTTAACATTCATAGGTTTGGAGGTAAGGTAACCTGTAACATGAAGAAGCTGTAGAGTATATTTCTTTTGACACAGATGAATCCCTCTGGTTGATGTGGCAATTTCTAAGCCCATGAAGTAATGAAGATCTCCTAGAACTTTCAGCTTAAAATGTTTCTGCAGGAGGATTTCAACCTGCTTTAATCTCTTTGAATCTGGTCCTGCAAGTACAGTGTCATCTACATACACCAATAGAATGACTAGAGAAGATTCCTTGCCACATGAAAATAAGGAATGGTCAGCTGAAGATTGCTCAAAACCTAAAGATGTGAGGGTTGAACTGAACTTTTGATACCACTTCCTAGATGCTTGCCTTAAGCCATACAAAGACTTATTTAATTTGCAAACTAGGTTCTCCCCCTTGATTGGATAACCTTCAGGTAGCTGCATAAACACCTCTTCAGATAAATCTCCATTCAAGAAGGCATTATTGATGTCTAATTGAATGAAATTCCACTGTTTTTGTGCAGCTATAGAAAGCAATATTCTTACTGTAGTGAGTTTTGCTACAGGAGAAAAAGTGTCCAAGAAATCCACCCCAGCCTGTTGTGTGAATCCCTGAGCAACTAGTCGTGCTTTGTACCTGTCCAAGGATCCATCAGCTCTGTATTTCACTTTGTATACCCACCTACAACCTACAGCTTTCTTGCCCTTGGGAAGACTTTGAATGGACCATGTGTTGTTTGCCTCTAGAGCAGCAACTTCTTCTGTCATAGCATGTCTCCACTCAGGACTGGAGACAGCCTGATGATAGAAAGATGGCTCATAAATGCTGGATACTTGTCCTATAAACTGTCTATAAGTGGGCTGCAGGTTATCATAGGTCAAGTGCTTATGTATTGGGTATTGGACACTACATTGGTAGTCCTGAAGATAGGTTGGAGGTCTACGAATTCTAGTTGGTCTTTGAGATGAGTGATTATGTTCAGCAGGTAAGATTTGATTATCATTGTGAGCTATAGCAAGTAGATTTGGTATGGAAACATCTATATCAGGTTGTGGTGCTTCACCATCATTCTGAATCAAAGGGGTTGGTTCATGTTGAGAAAAAGAATTTGTGATTGCCTTTGGCAAGACAGGGTCAGAAAAAAAACTGGACAAAACTGTATCATCTGCTATAGAACTGAAAGGAAAAATAGTTTCTTGAAAAATTACATCCCTACTGACTAGAATTTTTCTGGTTTTTAAGTTCAAAAGTTTGTAACCTTTGACACCATGAGGATATCCCAGAAGAACACAAGGTGAGGCACGTGGAGTAAACTTTGATCTGTATGCAGGGATAGTAGAGGCAAAACACAGACAACCAAATACTCTTAAAGATTCATAGTCATGAAGTTTACCTTGTAACAATTTAAAAGGAGACTTGTTGTCTAACCCAGGAGAAGGGACTCTATTGATCAAGTAAGCCCTTGTATTTACACAATCACCCCAGAATCTTAATGGAACTTTTGATTGAAACAAAAGTGCCCTTGCAACATTTAACAGATGCTGGTGTTTTCTTTCCACAACTGAATTCTGTTGAGGTCTATGTGGACATGACAGCTGATGTGTAGCTCCTTCATCTTGTAGAAAATCAGCCAGGTTGAGCTCTTTGGCATTGTCACTTCGAATGCCCTTTATTGAAGTGTTCAACTGTGTTTTAATGAACTTAAAAAACAGCTTAATCAACATTGGTGCTTCAGATTTGTATTTCATTAGATGAATCCAAGTGTATCTTGTATTATCATCAACTATGGTTAAAAAATAATGGAAACCATCATATGTAGCTTTGGCAAAAGGACCCCATACATCACACTGAATTAAATCAAAAGGTGATTTAGTATGATTATTGTTTGAATTAAAAGGCAAACGATGGAATTTTGCAAGGGGACAAACTTTACAAAATTCATGATTATCTTTATTAAAAGAGAATAAAGTTGGAACAGTTTTATGAATAGACTGTAAAACAGGATCAGGTAAATGCCCTAATCTAGCATGCCAAATATTTAAAGAAACAATTCCAACAGCATTACAGTTGGGCATAGAAGAGGAACTTTTATTTGAATGAACATTAAGGAAAATAGAAGTAGCCTCATTAACACACTTGAGAAAGTAGAGGCCATGAGTGTAATCACCCGAACCAATCACCTTCCCCTGCTGATTGTCCTGAATCAGGAATCCAGATTTAGAACAAGTGACAAATAAATGAGAATTTTGCAATAACTAACCAACAGACAGAAGATTAATGCGAAACAGGGGAATATATAATACACTATGCAATGTTAAATGTGGACTGATGACGACTGTGCCAATGGCAGAAACTGGAACTTTGCTATTATTAGGTAAAGTCACAAATTTGTGAGACAGGAATTTATATGAAGTGAACATGTGCAAAGAGTGCACAATGTGAGATGTTGCACCTGAATCAACTATCCAAGTATTGCTAGTGGGATATCTACTGTGATATGAAAAAGAAAATACCGTACCAACTGAATCACCTGATGCAGGGTCTGTGTTTGATTGTCTAGCCATCTGTCCTTGAATGTAGGCTATCAGCTGCTGATATTGTTTGGTGTTCAAAGGCGTTTCTTCCTCCATGGAGTCTGTGTTTACAGCATTAGCATTTTGTTGTGAAGAATTGAACGTTTTTCCCTTCTTGAATCCTGGTGGATAACCATGGAGCTTGAAACACTTATCTTTGATGTGACCAAGAACACCACAGTGTGAACACATTGGTCTATCCTTTCTGCCATTCTTAGACTTGGATCCATTGGAATCAGCAACATGATAAGCAAGGTTTCACTGTTGTCACTAGTGATAGCATTAACCACACGATGCTTTTCTTCTTGCATAACCAATGAAAAAACACAGCTAATAGATGGCAAAGGGTCCATGAGCAAGATTTGTCCACGAATTGGATTGAAACTTTCATTCAATCCCAGCAAGAATATAAGCACATACTCACAGTTGATGTGATCAATCAAAGGATTTACGCCACCACAGACACACTGATGAATTGGACGAAACTCTGCGAGTTCTTCCCAAAGACCTTTGATTTTGGAGTAATACGCGCCTACTGAGAGAGTACCTTGAGTGCACGTTATGAAATCCTTGCGAAGCTGAAACAATCGTGGACCGTTGTTTTGCAAGAAACGTTCCTGAAGATTGTTCCAAATCGCCGCTGCAGTTGAGGCGTAGATGATACTGGAGGTGAGCTCTTTTGAAACTGAATTCAACAGCCATAAAGCGACGACATTGTCATTGCGTTTCCAGAGGTGGAACTGAGGATCGCCTTCCGGAGGTCGCAGAATCGTGCCATCAACAAAGCCAATCTTGTTCTTTGCGCGAAGTGCGATGAGCATGGCACGGCGCCACAACGGATAGTTCTCTTCCGTCAGAAGGTGTGATATGAGAACGAGACCAGGATGATCCGAGTGATGGATGAAGAACGGGTTCTGCTGTTGATCTTCCATGGCGATGCGAAAGAGAAAAAGAGAGCTTGACAAAAAGATTCGGAAGCGAAAAGAAATCAGATCTTGATGAATGAAGATCTGCAGAGAAAGTCTACTGATACTATATCGAATATGCCAAGCATTGATGAACTGAACATTGTAGAGAATATAACAAACACAGAGTGAAAAAGGAAGAAGATGAAATCATTCTCACAGTAAAATCTGTTATAGTTTGTTATATTTCAGTTACACCAATCAACAACCTCCTATCTATTTATACCCAATGAGAAATAAAGCATAGAATAGCTATCCACTAGAACTCAAACACCTAGTCCTTATCCTACACCTCTAGTAAGCAACCCCACAAATCAAATCAAATCGGCTTCTCCAGTCTAGCTTTGAACGTTTAGATTTATCTAGACAAGATATGCATGGTATAACGATTTACACGAGTACGTTGGATAATTCTTTGATGTTTGAAATATTAATGGTTAGGAAATGACGTTGCTATATATGCAGAGTGACATCTGAAGTACTAATGTAACAAAGGTGAAAAAATAACACATACCAAAAATGAAAGAGCCTAAGCTTTTGTTAGGAAAATAGTCAGAGATTAACATAAGATCCTCGCAAGAATTTGTTAGTAATAGGCATATTAGGCAGTTTATTCTATTATTATGAAATGTTTGTGTGTGCAGTAACTGCTATGTAACTGTTTTGTAACTGCTATAGGAAGTCAGAATTATAAATATAGGGTGTGAGAGATTAGGGATCTTGTATGTTGTTTGGTTTGGGAGAGACTAGGCTCTCTAATTCCTATCAACTGGTATCAGAGCAGATATGATCTGAAGCAAGAAAATCATAATAGAGGAAAATAGACATGCCATAATTTGACGGCAGCGAAGATGGCTATTGGTGGTTGATTTGTATTGAGAAGCATTATGATGTTGTGGGAACACCGGAAAGTGAGAAGTTGCCCGAGACAGTGAAAGCCTTGAGAAACCGTGCTCTCAGAATTGTGTTGTATGCCTTGTCCAGAATACTTTGAGAGTTACTTAACTGCAATTGCCATTCTATTGCTCAATATACCCTGAAACAATCAAACAATCATCCAAAGTAATTATTTGCTTTTGCCTTTTTTACAGGACACGTTAATGCTTGGTAAA